TTGTTTTATTTTTTTGAGACAGGCCTTTCTCTGCATAGCCCTGCCTGTCCTAGGACTCTCTCTATAGACCAGGCTGGCCTTGAACTCTGAGATCCGCCCACCTCTGCCTCCTGAGTGCTGAAATTAAAGATGTGCACCACTGTCAGACTGAACTTGGATTCTCTGCAAAGGCTTTACATGTTCGTAATTGATGAACCATGTCTCCAGCTCCTACCCCATCCCATTCCTCCATTCCCCACAAAAAACAAAAAACAAAAAACAAACAAACAAACAAACAAACAAAAAAAAAGATAAATGAGAAGGAAAGAAAAAAAAGGATTGGAACTTACCAACATATAGATAATTTGACTTTTTTTTATTACTGTAAAGAGTGCCTGAGGCCAGGCAGTGATGGAGTTTGCCTTTAATCCCAGCACTCAGGAGGCAGAGGCAGGTGGTCTGCAGAGCTAGTTCCAGGACAGTCAGAGCTACACAGTGAAATCTTGTGTCAAAAACAAACAAATAAACAAAACAAAACAAAAGTAAAAATAAAGAAAAGAAAAAAAACAAAAACCACAAAAATACCTCACACTTACTACCTTCCTTTTGTCCTTTGTATTTTGTTAGTATATATATATAAATTATATATAGTTTTATCAGAACATTTTCATAGAGGTACATCACATTTTAATCCTATTCATCCCCACCCTGTTAACCTCTCTGATCTCTCTCCAACCCTCTACTCCTCTGACCTTCTCTGTTAGCTTGAATGAGGTGTCCTCCCTAAGTCTTGGACATTTGAATTCTTGGTTCCAGTTGGTGACCCTGAGGGAAGAACTAGGGGGTGTGGCCTTGGAGGGACGTGTCACTGGAGGTGGACTTACGTAGGTTTCTAAAGCCTCCAACCATCCTCAGTGTACTTGCTCATTTCCTGTCTGTGGATCAGGATGTGAGCTCTCAGCTGCTGCTCTGGTGGCGCGCGTATGTATGTATGTATGTATGTATGTATGTATGTATGTGTTGTTGCTACTGGGAATTCATGGGAACTGAACTTGGAGTCTCACACATGCTAGGCAAGCACTCTACCACTGAGCTATATTACCCAGTCTACACCTGGCATCTTATGTGGGTGCTGGGGATCCAAACTCAGGTCCTCACTCTTACCAGCAGTCACTTTACCCATGGAGCCATTTCCCTAGTCCCAATAATTTTCTTAGCTCTTTATGTATTCTGGATACTAATCCCTTGCCTATATGTATTTGGCAAAGATGTCGTCCCCCCCTTTCTGCAAGCGATCTCATCTCTCTGTGTTTGTTTTCCTTGTTATGTAGAACTTTCTAGTTCATGCAATCCCATTTGTCAATTCCTGAGATTATTTCCTGTGGTCCTGGAATTCTTTTCAGAAAGCCCGTGCACATTACCTAAATGTTATATGTTTTACCTATGCTTTTCTCTCGAAGTCACTAAATTTCAGAGCTTACATTAAGATCCTTGAATTACTCCCCCGCCAGGGTGAAAGACATAGATTAGTTCAGTGATTCTCAACCTTCCTAACACTGAGAACCCTTAATACAATTCCTCATGTTACTGTGATCCCCAACCATAAAATTACTTTTGTTGCTACTCCATAACTGTAATTTTTTATTGTTATGAATCATAATGTAAATATATGACAGGAGTCACAACCACATGCTGAGAACCACTGATTTAGTTACATTCTTCTACATGGGGAATACCAGTTGTTAAAGTTTTTGAAAACTTTTTTAAAAATTTTCATGTCTGTAACTGTGATTTTATTTCTTGGTCCTCTATTCTAGAATATTGTTCTAAATGTCTGTTCTTGTATTCATACCATGGTTTTTTGTTGTTGTTTTTTTTTCCCGAGACAGGGTTTCTCTGTGTAGCTTTGCGCCTTTCCTGGAACTCACTT